CTACACCTGTGCAAGTATTCTTAAAAGTGTGGGCCTCTGTGGCCTTTCACAACATTTTAGTGTGTGAGAGGAAGAAGAAATTCTACAGCTGCTTTTTTTCCCATCTCTGCAGCCCACATTAAGGGTGTCTTATCACAACCATCCCTGGAATTAGGGTTGTGACCACGCTTAAGCAGCATCTCAATGGCTGCAACGTTACCACTGATTGCTGCAGCAGATAGGACAGTCCACCCGTCCTTACTTTTCAAATTTTCATCAGCACCCTCTGCAAGCAGATAGTTTGCAGCCTGCAGTTTACCCTGTGTCAAGCAAAACAACAGTGGAGTGATACCAAGGACTGTACACATAGCATTTATGTCAAGATTTTTAGAGAGCACAGCCTTAATAGTGAGAACATTGTCAGAAAGAGCAGCTAAATGGAGCAGTCCAAGGTCTGATGTATTTCTAAGTAATGGATTAGCACCTTGAGCAAGAAGATATTCTACAACCTTTGTATTTCCACAACGTGCAGCATGCATCAATGGTGTGTCTCCCCCATCATCTCTAGAATCAATGCTACAACCACGTGAGAGCAGCATCTCAATGGCTGCAACAGAACCAACTGTTGATGCAATGGACAAAATAGGGATTTCTCTCTGAGTGGTTTTCAAACTTTCATTGGCACCCTTCTCAAGCAGATATTTTGCTGCCTCCAATTTGTCAGATTTAATGGCAACCATCAGAGGGGTTAAACCCAGAGTTTCACCTCTGGAATCCACATCAAGACCTTTAGAAAGTATGGTCTCAATAATGATGACATTGCCAGACTGAGCAGCAAAGTGGAGAAGGCTCCATCCATGTTCCCCTCTCAGGAATGGATCTGCTCCATGTTTAAGAAGACAATTTACAGCCTCTATCTGTCCACAAGCTGCAGCAGAGACTAATGGCGTGTTTCCCTCTCTATCTCTTGAGTCAGGTCTTAAATCATAAGAGAGCAACATCTCAATTGCTGTAACACTTCCGTACTGTGATGCTATGTGTAAAGCATTCCTCTCGTAAGATCCAGTTGTCAAAGATATGTCTGCACCCTTTTGAAGAAGATATTTCATAACTTCAACATGGTTTTCCTTGACAGCAATTATCAGTGGGGTGACTGAGGATTCATCATCTTTTGAATCAATGTCAATGCCACGAGAGAGCATGCTCTTCACAATGGAAATGTTGCCACCTTCAGCTGCCGCATGAAGCAGATTTCTTCCAATGAAGTTTTTAAGGTGTGGATCAGCTCCCTTGCTGAGAAGAAGGTCTACTGTCTTCTCGTCTCCTTTAGCAGCTGCCACCATTAAGGGTGTTGTACCATCATTACCCCTTGAA